CATTTTTCTCAGCCATATATTGAAGAACCTTTTTAACATGTGCTTGAACGCTAACTGAAAATTGAAGGTTCAAGTGTACTCAGAGATATGTAGGGGAAAAAAATCACCTAGAGATCTACTTCCAAAGCTACTATTTACAACTCCGTGAACTCAATTTCCTTGACCTGAGTACTGAAGATTTAGATAGAGATGACCACTGTAAACAGCATCTCAGGGGAAGGTCGTGGAGAGAGTTGGGGAAAATGTAGAACAAAACTCTAAAGTATAAAAAGAAAAAGATTAGATCAGGCTTACTGATCCTTTAGACACAGGTGAGACCCTAGAGACTATGACCCTTAGTTACCCTTCAAATCTGGAACACAATTCACTATTATGGCTCAACTGTTAACAAAAAAATAGACAGACCTATGAGTGACCAGTAACCTAGGTGATCTAGGTGGCCAGTAACATCAGACAGACATTTACTTCTTAGAACACCTATCCATATAAAATGCAAAGAGCCGCATTTGCTCAAGGATAAATCTTAGGAAATAGGAAACGGAAGGCTAGAAAGATTAATGGAAAGGACAATCCCAGGGAGGGAATGGAATAATGCCCTTGCATGGTTGTTGTTGTGTACTGTCAAGTAGGAACCATTCCGTAGCTGGCCCTCCAGCTATTCCCATGAAGTCACTGATGGATTTGAACCAAGAGCCTTTGGGATCGCAGCATAGTTCTTAACACTTGGCCACCAGAGCTAGTATTACCGTTACAAGGTACATACTGTTGTTCATGTTGAAAAACAAAACAAAACAACCCACAAAATGTGTAGGAATGGTTTTAATGGTGAAACCAATTTGCTTTTTTAAACTTTTATGCAAAGCACACACACACATATGAACATATGTACACACAAGAATAATAAATTTTAAAAAGCCAAACAAAGAAAGTTCTACTCTGTCATGTACAGTGTTGTTGCCATGAGTTAGAATCTACTTGATGGTTACCAGTCAATGACAGACAAACCTAAGTGTCAACCTACCGTCAAATACTAGCTAGATGACCATTATCAATGAACGTTTTAACAATTAAGCTGGTTAAGTAGCATTAATTCTGTTTTACAAATAAGAGCATTCAATGTAAAGATGTCAGTTTATCTAAACTGTCAATATAAGTTGAGTTATCTAACAACCTCAGTGAACTTTAAAAAAATTTAATGAACAGAATCAAGGCTCTTTGACCATCAATCACAGCAAAGTTATATCTGCCTTGTCCTTTAAAATAATACTGGGTCAAAAATATGAGTGCCATAAAATCTTTACTGTCTAGAATAAATCATGTGATCATTAAACATGCATTGACTAAAGAGACAATGATAAGATACACGCTTATTTCAGCGACTGACTCCTCCATCTAGGTTGCTATTTAGCTGTATGTCTATGTTGCCAGATGCCGTCAAATTGGATTTGAGTCATAACGATCTTGTCCACAACAGGATGAAATACAGGTAGACTCTGCAGCATCCTCATACTTGCTGTGGTTCTTGCGTCTACTTCTAAAATATACATAGAAAGCAAAAGCCAGCACAAGGACAACAAAAGATCCAACAGTACCGGAGCAACTTTTCAAATTTTATGTCACATTGTAAAAATACACTGTGATTGAACAAAATTCTATAGTATATATGTTTGTTGTTGTTGCATGCTGTCAAGTCAGAATCGACTTGTAGTTGACCCTGCAGCAAGTTTTCAGGGGCACTGAATCACAAGGCAGGAGACAGTCCTTCCATCTTTCTCCTGCAGAGCAGCTTGCAGATTTGAACTGCTGGTCTTGGGGTTGGTAACTCAACTCCTTATCCACTAGTCTATTAGATATATAAATGTAAGAAACTGTTGCAATCCCAAAAGCATGTGGTTCGAATCCACGAGCTGTTCTTTGAGAGAAGGATTTGCAATCTCCTGTGCGATTTACTGGCTCTGAAAATCTCCTGGAAAGTCAGCTGTGAGTCAGTTTTGACTTGTTGGCAATAGAAATGAAAGAGATATAAGGTGTGTGTGGGGGGAAGTGGGGCAGTGGTTCTGGTGGTGTAGTTTGTATATGTAGCTTACCAAAGGTGGGGCTTCTCTGGTGGTTCAAATCTACCAGTAGTTCTGCAGGAGAAAGATGTCAAATCTCCTCTCGTGTGACTTACAGTGATTTAAATATACGCACTTAGTGCAAATTAAAAACTGTTGTTATTTTCTCCACAAAAAAAGGGAGGTGATACTATGAAAATGTATCTACTTCCAGCTTCACAATGTGATGTATTTAGTTCTACTACTAGGTATTATGAGCCATTATTTTCTTCACAATAAAGTTTTGCATTTAAAACCCTTTACCCTCAAACCAGTTCCTTCAGATTCAGGATTGGACTCAGAACAAACAAAAGCTATCATCTCAGGTTTAATATAGTATGCGAAATAAAAAAAAATTGCAAAAGTGATTCCCCTCTAATGTAATTGACACACACTTACACACACACACACACAAACACACATATCCTTTTCAATGTTGATATTCATGCTTAAATTGTGCATTTATATAGCTTTTATACGATGCTCACTGCTCTCTTATCTTTTGACTGACAATGATGGGATTTCAGTAATGCTTAGCTTTTCCGACAGCGCTAGTGATGGGATTTTTGAAATCTTATTACTGGTTGCACTGTCCTGATCTCAGATGGAACTTTCAATCAAAAAGGCAATCAGAAGGTTATACATTCGTAAGATTCCCTGCAAAGCCAGTGATCGCATAATACAACTTGTTGGAAGAACCTACTTGCCTCTAGTCCTTATGTGGCCATAAAGAGTAATTGGCTACTTAGCTCTCCGCACCTGTTTTTTCCTCTCCAAAACACAGCCTAATCCAGAACTCTGTTAAGTCTCAGTGTGGAATCTGGCTGCTCCTAGGAGATTTCTAAGTTTCATGCAGAGATTTGTCTTACTTTAAACATCTGATTAAACAAACTCTCCCCAAAACCCATTTGACTTCCTTGTTTCACTGTGGATAACAGTGAATCTAGGTTTTCTTTTCCTTTCTTATGCACATAAACACCCATCTACCTTGCCAACAATATTTTCCTTATAAAATTCACACTTTAGAAATTGTTAATCTTTGTGGCAAGATTAATGCTGGGATCTATTTCCCAGAGTGTTTTAATAAGCCCTGTTAAGTTTTTTTAAAAAACTTAACATTATCATAATCATAAAATTTTATGAATAATGGCTTCACATTCTTCTCTGATCTATTTAAATGCATGTTGAGATTTTTCAAAGATATTGATTTGCTCAAGTAGTGGACAGAGCTGGAACGAAATTGATCCCATGTGGTGTCCAATTACCCATGAACATGTCAACTCCCCAGCCAAAACTCTTGAATTGCGAGAGAGTTAGAGAGAGGTCATTTTGTCTTCCTTGGCTCCAACTCAATGGTTCTTCTCCATTAGGCAGGGAACTCATAGGCAAGGTCAAGTTTGAAAAGAGGAGAAAGAACAAATATTTGAAGTACGTAATGATCCACAGACACATTAAACTGTCTGTGGGCAGAACACACATTTAATTTGAAAAATGACCACACATGTATATATACGGCAAGACATAAATCAGTGCTGATGCAATAGAAACAGTGCGTAGAGACAAAATATAGACACCTTGAGAATTATAAAAGATTTATCAAATTGAGCATGGGCTATCCAAATCCTAAAAAGACTGGGAATCTCATTAGCTTCTTTGGGTTAAAGAAATAAATACCGAGTAGGTCTACTTAGATTCTCCCTTTATCTTTGTGCAGATGAGTGGGTGTGCACATATGCTTGGTCTTTATTTCACTTCAGGGCAGTTAAAAAGCATAGAAATAGAATTTCAGACTTATGGGACCTAAAGAGTCTGGAAGGTTCACAGCCTATGCCCTATGGCCTCCAGCTGTTCTTTAAATATGTATTGAAACCATCCTCTAAGTCACCTTGAAACTAACAGTTTAACACAAAGGGTAAAAGTTGTCATCCCTGAGTATTGTGTCACTTAAAAAAATGGACAGACATGGTGGATTGGGAAGATAATGAGAAAAGAGTAGCTAGAAAATGAACACTGCATTGGAATAGATGAGGGGAAGAACTGTCCAAAAGGAATATATGATTAGGCATATTAGACAAGAATCTGGAACAAGGGGTGTGTTGAGGAGGGGCCTGGGACAGGAGAAGAAAAGGTGTAATAAAAAAATAAAAGAAGGCAGGGAGAAAAGTGCAACAATGAATGAATGGAAATCCAGAATCTCTGCAAATGTTCATTAAAATTAATAAAATAAAATTTAAAAAAATAAGATATTTTTAAAAAGATCTACATACGTGACAAAAGTTGTTTTAAAATATAGATGAAAAGGCTGGGGGCATAGAGATTAAGCCAAAATAAGTGAAATTAGAACATTAATAATGAGAAAATGTAATGAATGTCACTCATCATTATGCTTAGAAATTGTAGAACGAAAGTTGATTTTGCTTTTTCTCGTTTTACCCCGAAATTAAGCATAACATTATAGATATAGCATTATTCCTTCTTACACAATCTGACGTGAACCATAGATACAATATGCTCGCATTGTGTGACACAGAAAATCAGCAAAAGGATCAGTCTTTCTTTTTTCCTCACCGGGCAAAGTGAAATTCCAAGACAAGATTCAGGAAGGTAGTAGACTAGATTATCATCCCCTTACCAAGAACATTTTAAAAATGATTGCCATTGATTTTGAACATTAGAGAATATGGATTTTACAGTCTTAAAAAAAAGATACCTGGTGTTGGATCATGAAGCAGAAGACATTTCTGTTCTTTGAGTCTTAATCAGAAATACACATAGAGAGGGAATGATCCTTGGAATGACTTACTTGAACATTCTAGAATCCTGGCCAATAATGACTCTTTGTTAATCAGTCTTAATCTGATTAGGTTCATAATTTTTTTTTAAAAAAAAACCATGATGACAACAAAGGTATTTATAAAAATATATTTCACAAAGTAGGAAACAATACAGGAGTTTCTCTGAATACAATACATGGAGTAAAGAAACAATATTGCATTAAAGCAAAGTAGAAAATTAAAATGATCTGCATGTAATACTTGAGTTTTATCATACATTTTCTACTCCTAAAATGGCAGGTTTGCATTACAAATTGGATATGCTCACATCTTCTAGTGCCGGGTTCTTTTGAAGTCTAAGACGTTCTGTGCATCACCATGAGGGTCAGGGATAGAAATGCTAGAAAACATAAGCAGTCAAATTATATACATATCAGTTCCTGCTCTAATACAGTGGGGTAACTTGAAGCCTATTCATTGGGCGGGGTGTCATTAGAGGGTCTCTAAAAGTCTAGAGTTTAAATAGTCACATGAACCAATATACCTTCAGATGTTTGTGCTTGTAGTAAAAAAACACCAATACTAGAATTATGAACAAAATAGAAAACAGTCCAAAATTTTCTCTGGGAAAATGTTGTTCCTGCCATTACCAGTCACAATAACACTTCTACTCTAAAGAAATTGTTACTTCTCCTTTTTATTTTTTTATTATATTGCCTGCCATACTCATCTCATCAAAATGTACATGTATTAAACATTCATTTTTGTGTGTATATATATATATGTATATATATAAAACAATCTAAAGTATTAATGGATATAATTTAGGTTTTATATTCTTCCCCATATAGTCCCTTAGTCTATAGATTATCAACCTTAATAAATAAAAGCATTAATGGACATCGATAAAATATTTATTTGTTTAAACAAATAAATCCACGCGCTAGCAATAAAACCTTCTCTCTCTGATATAGTCCACTGTGCAGCACAGCTTCTCTTTGTGTCCTTTTGGGAGGAGATGAAGTGGAGGGAACGAGTAATCCTGCTTCTAGAAAACCAGCCTGTGTGAATGGGATTTCTCTCCTCCCACCGCTGTGTGGGCAGTCCCCACCCGGGAATGGATTACGGACATGTGAATATTTTAAGGCTCGACACAATATTTAAAGATGCTCTTCAGTCTCTGGTGAGTGGGGCCAACAATTATGTACAATGTGTGGTCACTGTACCGTATAAGCTAGGAGGCCTCCCAAAACTCCAGAAAAGTCATAACGTACAGCAGACCAAGTATTGCTTTAATGTTTGTGGCGGGATCCTTGTTGGAGGAGGGGGAATAAAAACCACTTGCATTTAAAAAAAAAAATCCTTGCAGAAGACACATATCAGCAGCAAATTCCTTGTAGGTCCTTTTTTTTTTTCTTTCCATTTTTCTAAGAAAGCACCTTTTTATTTTATTTTTCCTCTTTTTCTCCCCCCGCCAACCATTTCTCTAAGGAGCAGCCGGGATCCCAATCTTTGTCTATGGTGGTTAAGTAAATATCAAATATCCAAAGACTTCTAGACACTCCACGTACTTTAATTTACACTCCACAAGATTTATAACCTCCTAACATAAACTTGTAATTTTTATTTTTTTTCTTATTTTTTTGGTTCAACATTAAAATGTAGTTGAGTTTATAGATGATTGGTGCTAAACTTGCCTCTAAAACAAATAGCCACATTGGTTGCATCTAAGGGAGGGTGACCCTAGAATATTACAGAATGCTCAGTTCCTCTGATTTCCTTCTCATCCACTGTCAAGTTTCTTTGTCACTTTCACCAACAGAGTAGAGTTCACCCAGTCTCTTAAAACGGGGACCCCAGTCACTGAGGTAGTCAAAATTCTGGTCTGAGTCTGACGTAGTAGACTCCAGGGAGCTGAGGGAGCCAGCCACTGACCCCCGGCCTTCATAGCCGTAAATCTGAATGGAGTCATATGGCGGGGCCGTGGGGTCATTATCGGCCTCATGTAGCCGCACATTAATAAATTCATCGACATCTACACCATTTGGAACTGGAGCAAGTCCTTGCCTTGGCATGAACTGTAGATCTGGCTTAATATCCTTCCGAGGCAAGAATCCATTAATTCCATCTGGATTCTGCAAAGTTGCAATGTCAAACGCCTCGGTGTCCTCCTCGCCTCCGCCTTCATCATCGTAGCGAATGATGTTTTCCCGCACGTCTTCGTCATCTTTGATAATCAATGGCTCATTTTTATGCCGTCGCAGAGTTACAAACAGCACCACGATGACTGTGGAGAAAAAAAGAAAAAAATATATAAAGAAATGGTTAGTCAAACAAGCATACAATTCCTCAAGCAGCACACCCTACGTATTGAGAGCCAGGGGGACGTTTTTAAAAACTTAGCCACATAAAGCTTTAGTAACATTTACTAGAGAACTTCATGAAATACACGTCTGAAGGATGAGCATTGGCTTGTGAATGAATAAGCTTCCAGATTGGAAGGTGGTTCTGCTTAGTAAATGTTGAGGGAGCAGGATTAAAAGAATAAATTTGCATTCCTTCCTGATGCAAGGTGCATTCAACACGGAATGCGTCTTGGACTGAATGGCACAGAATGGAGAAAAGATAAAACCACACACACATACAATCACCCAGCACCAAGGAGTCTAACTGGGATTCAACAGGGATTCTTATTGGAGCCAAGCCACTTAATATTTATTCTTCTGCTTTCGAGTCCCTCATCTATAATGACAAAGGAACAGGCAGTCAAGTCTAGTGGACTTGATGCTTTAACAATTCAAACCTCTCTTCAATCAAATAATGTTCACAGAAGAAATGACATATCAATACAAATGTCAGAGCTCCACGAGGAACTTGTATTTTCAGGACGTCTGGGACTTTGCTATCTGGAAAGCTTGGGAAGGGGGGGAGGGGGAAGACATAGCAATTAGTCAGATGAATGAAATCAAACTTAGGACAAGTTAGATCAAATATCACAGCAAAATGATGTGCTAATTCAGTGTATTGAAGAGGAGGATTTAGGTAATTTGGAAGGCAGTAACGGAGGCCGCATTTACTGAGGTACTATATTCCTTAAAGACAACAGCAGATATCATTTTATATAGTTACTCTGATGGAGCTTATTTTGATAATTTTATTTTTAATAGAAAGGTTATACAAGTCTTTCCTGGGACGACAAACTTCATTTTGCTCTGATGTTAGTATCCAGAACAAAAAAAAAAAAAAAAAGAGAGAGAGAGAGAGAAAAACATAATGTAATTTTGAAAGGTCATTTATTTATTTCTCTTTGTATGTTTGTTTTCTTCCTAATCTTTCTAAAGTACTGTGATCTGATGGACTTATTAAGCTAATGCCTAAAATAAAGAGTATTGTGGACCTATAAAGGTCCCCTAGCCTACATGCTTCTGGAAACTCTAAGAACTTTGATAAAATGTTTATGGTTGTAGAGGGGCTTCAGGTCCTATGTTCACAGGGTCACTGAGTTGTGCTGGACTTGAAGGCAATCAACAACAACATCCTAGTAAACAGGACCACTTCAGAAGATATGGAGATCACTGATGCTACTGTGACCACATAGAGACTCATCCCAACTTCTACTTTCCATGGGCTTTGTATATCTCTTCTCTAGTGGTAGGACTCAAAAGGTAATGAAACGTCTCCTCCAATTGGACCTCTATTACCTCTATCTTATTTATATTCGTCTCTCCCGGATGATTCCAAACCTTAGAGTATTGCAAAACTTCCTCCCCCCCCCCCTCAAGAACTCTAGCATTGGGCTGGGTTAAGGTTCTTTACAGTCATTTATGAACCAGAAAAATGGTGACCATTAGGCTGTGAGGGAAATACGTACCTAGCAGCAAAATGATGCATGCTAATATGGCAATTAAGGCTCCCATACTGAGTCCAATGGGAAGGACATAAGCTTCAACATTACAAGACTGGACAACACCTTCATTGCTACAACCACAGACCCGGATGGTCAGGGTGCTGGTGCTACTCAGCGGAGGGTTCCCACTGTCACTGATTATGATTGGCAAAAGATAGACTTCTTGCTTCTGGCGGTTGAATCCATTATGCTTTGCCAAAATGCTGAGGGAATTATCTGGAAAAAGTGAAAATTACAATGATTTGCATCATCAAAAAAAAAAAAAAAAGGGCTGCCCAAACAACACTTGTTTTTCTAGTTCATAAATCCTCTGCAAACCTCAAAACAATCCCAATTCCACTGGCCCCCTCAGGCTTGCTGCTTCTTTTCCAAGTGATCCAATTCGAATGGACCAAGATATCGAGACCCTAACACATTGCATGACTGGGGTGCAGGGGTGAAATGCATGGAGGTACGCCATCCCTTCAGAATTGCAACAAATTCTTTCTCATAGAAATCATTGCCAATGTCTCTTAAGGAGACACACTTTATCCTGAGTATCCATAAATATATTGCATTCTCTCTGTTAACATATTATGCAAAGTTGATTGAATAAGATTTTGCCATATTCTTTTTTTAAATTTTATTT